CAACCACTATCTCTGCCACTCTAGAAACAGCTTTAGCTGTAGCTGCAGATCTAGCCTTAGCTGTAGCTGTAGATCTAGCTGTAGGTCTAGCTGTAGATCTAGCTGTAGATCTAGCTGTAGGTCTAGCTGTAGATCTAGCTGTAGATCTAGCTGTAGGTCTAGCTGTAGATCTAGCTGTAGATCTAGCTGTAGCTGCAGCAATCATGTCCAGTTATGATCCACATTTGGTATCATTCTTAATAAACAAACAACTTATGGATTGCACCATTCTCCTTGTCGGAAGTCATAGTTTCATAGCAGAATAGATGGTGGTTTCACCATTGTTGTTGGTCCCTTTCCAAATCGTTATCTTGGCGTCTTTTGCAGCTTTGGCTAAGTCAATGAGATTGTTGGAGAGTTTTTCTCCCTAACTTCATCAGGCATGGCATAGATCTCTACTTTTGGTAGATATGTGTTGCCCTTGTTGTACTCATAAAGTACAAAACCTGAGAGTGACTCCAATCAGATCACATACACATGACTATCATATTTTTGGCAGTAAAAAGCTTCCACTTGTCCATGGGGCTTCCAACAACACAATCAGCACCCTGACAACTGTTCATACTTTCAGGACAACTGGAATCATGGAAATGAGAACAAGATACAATTGGCCAAGACAACAGGCATTGGTTCAACACGTGGCTTGATGGCATTATTGATTGCATCTTTAACTTAACAATGGGAATTCCCATACAAGGGATTAGTCTTGCAATTACTTGTTACTATGATGTCCGTAGTAACACACTACGTAGTTTCTTAACAAGAATCCCCATCTCTGCAGGTAGTTAAAACACAGTGCTGTTTAGTTATCAACAATATTGATGGTCCTTACTATGGGGGATCAAATATCAGTGCTTACTACATGAAAATTGCCATTAGTGTTTACTACTGGATAGCTTCCATTAGAGCTTACTAGTGGGGATGTTATATTAGTGTGCACAGTGTAGTGCTGGTTAAGTGGGTTCTATTGGTGCTGCTTGAGAGGGGAAGGAGCTTGAGAGTCAGGCAACACACTAGTTTTCTGTTTTCTATGGTTTCACCATCCATTTGGTTCAATCTTGGATAGTGCCATGAAGTCGGTGTAACCGCAAATCTAACAACCGCACTGGTACGGCCAAGTCCCAGTGGCTGGCTTGCCGTCTATTTCTCCCTGTCCATTTGCCCCTACCCACCCCCACCCCTCCATGCCCTGAAATATTAAGTTTGTCTATCGTTGCTACTTACGCTGGGGAGCTTGTATCAGAGTTCCCATCTACACTAGAGAATATCCATTTGTAGTGCTTACTACTACTGGAGAACCTCCATTTGTGATTGCTAGTGACGATGGTATCATATTACCGTTTACTTCTGGTGGTGAAGGGACTTCTATAGTGCTGCTCCTTATCATTGCAAACAAAAACGATAGTAAGATGGAGCCGCATTGTTGGAACATAAGTTGCAAGGAGAGAGTAAAGGAGAAGGGAAAATCCCATGAATCAGAGCAGTGGACGTCTACGCAAGACCAGCGATCAGGGGCTTGCGACAAAAAGAAGATGAGGTGATATGAACATCTACTGCTATASAGGGAACAYTGAACTGYATCAGATCGTTTTAGTGTTGCTAAATCGAACGACRCGATCTTCAATGAACGACATGATTGCACAATTCTATGCATTCAAAGATAATGCTTGCGAGGAATAGACAGGACAGATAGGAAAATATTGCAGTATAATTGACGTGTTTTGATATCAATAGCAGCCTGATTCTTTTGATGCTTTCTTCGACAATCCAAGAAAAAGATTGTCCGGCAGTGCAGCGGGGAGATAAGAGGGCCGGGGTACATTGGGGGGAGGGGGGGGTTCTTTGCATCGAGCTTCACTCTCTCGTTGAGTGGCATCAATTTCGTTCTTGTCGTTCGAGCCGGTGGGCATCCACGCGATCGGACACGGCACCCAAACAGCAACCCAACAGCACAGCGCGATGCCTTTGCTGTAGAGAGGAAGAGCCCACGCAGCTCGCTCGTGTGGCACGGTGTGTCGCACMGTCGYGCGTGGCGGGCCGTCGCGTGCTCTTCGTTGCGGCGCCGGGCTTCTTCCCCTGCCGCGAGCCGGGCCCGTCGGTTGCCCTAAAAGGCTTTGTCGAAGCCCTTGTTGTTGGTGTAAAAGTCGTCGTCGAAGCCCTGGTTGGTGTAAAAGTCGTCGTCAAAGCCGCCGGCGGGCTGGTTGAAAAAATCGTCGTCGAGCTGCGAGAGGATCTGAGAGCTCATCATTCCCAGCGACAAGACGATCACAAAGGGGAGGAGGCAACAGGCCCCCAGCACCGAAAGAATCACGATCGTGATGCAGCAGCACGTCCGGCCCCCGCAGCACTCCTCGCAGCCCTGGTTTCTCCGCTGCTGCTGCTGCTGCACCGGTGTCCCCGTGGCCACCGCCACGGGCGTCGGAGGGGGCGGCCGCGGGGAAGCTCCCGTGGAATAGGCGATCGGGGTCCGGGCCGGCGGGGGCGGTCGCGGGGGAGCTCCCGTGGAGTAGGCGATCGGGGTCCGGGCCGGCGGGGGCGGTCGCGGGGGAGCTCCCGTGGAATAGGCGATCGGGGTCCGGGCCGGCGGGGGCGGATTGCCGCTTTGCCGCGAAAAAGAGGAGGCCAGAGGCGCCGGCTCCGGAAGGCTCCCGAATTCCAGGCTCGTGGCGTGGGCGTAGGGAATGTTGGTGTTGCTCTCCGCGCTGTACGGGTCGTCCTCTACGGGCTCGGCGGTCACGGTAGCAACCTCCTCCGCGATCTCCATCGGAGCGGAGGGAACCGGTCCCGAGGAAATCCTTCCCGACAACGTGCCGCTGTTCTTGATCGTCATGCCTGCCTCGCGGGGGTTGCTTTTGCTTGGGTTCTTCTCGGATTTGCTGCTCGTGGTGAACCAAATCAAATCAAATCAAATCAAATCAAATCCAACCGAATGGGACCGAACCGAACTGAACCATGTGCTTCCAGTGTTTCTGGGCCCTGTGACTGACAAAGGACAGTATTTTGTGTGTGTGTTTTCTGTTCCTCCTCCTCGATCGATGGGGTTATCAAAGCTGACCGTTGTTCGGAAGACGCTGATTGATTGAAATGCCTCCCGGCAAAGACTCACTTGAACGATTTGGCTACGTCCTGTGTTGTACAGTCGACTACCGACTACTGGTACAATTCCGTACAATAAAATTCTGCACTTGAGCTAACTTTCGCACAGGAAACCACTCAACAAACACGACTGACTGGCTGATCCCCCCACGAGTGGATCCAACCATTGATGGGCAGATGTACAGTACGGTACGGTACC